ACACAGAGGGTCGTCTAAATGGGTGAGGTAGAACACAGACTGTGTCTGATGCTGTTCTCTCTAAGAAACCATAAGTTAGCTGCAACCCAACGTTTCCACCCAGAACACGTTTCTGTCTGAAAAAAATCTTCTGAGATATCATTCACGCATCTAAGCCTCACATTTCATTTTAGCTTTTCATTCAGACACAAGTTTTAATATCAAGCTGTTACACATAGTCATTTATAAATAGTAATTTTCAAAATTGTTAGTAATAAATTCTTATTTATTTTAAACCTGACTCTTCTTTGAAATGAAACACAGAATGGTGTACATTTGGTTATTGAATAAGCAAAGAATCCATTAAGTCTTCTGTTTAATAAATACACTTTTGCTATTAATTTAATTATCTTAAATTAAAAATTAATCTTTGGATTAAAATATAGACCAAGCCCGTTGGCGTATGAACTTCTATCGATATATTAATATCCTAGATATGTATATATGATAGAAGCTTCATTTGCTAACTTGTTTGATCTTCTTCAGAATCTAACAAAGCTGATAGCAACCAGAGTTAATTCTAGTATGTAGTTTAACCATGCTACAGAATTTTGAGTTTTCATGAGCTGTATGCCAAAATCATCAATAATAGAAACAATAAAAGGCTTGAACTACTTCAGTTGTGTGTAATGAATCTAATATATATGAAAGTCTAATGTTTATCAGTACATTACAGACAATAATGAACTTTATCACAAAAAGCAATTTTTTTAGAAGGACCTGTACTTTGACGTGACAAGCTTGAGCAGGGAAGTTTGGGAGATTGTTTTGACCGCAGACGGACTGGTTGGCAGGAGGGTGGCGATGGCGTCTGCTGGCAAAAGGGGTCGGAAAAATGTGGGTTTGATCATGGGTGGCAATACTCCAGTAGTGGCGGTTGAGCACGACTGTTCCGTGAGTGGGTCAGCTTTGGGTGAGTGGGGAGACCCCAACGATTCAGGAGAGGAATATATGGTTCTGGAGTTAAAGGAGAAAAGGAGAGATAAGCGCAAAAGGGGTAGTAGTAGTAGTAGTAGTAGTGGCGATGGATCTGTTGTAGAAGAAAAAAACAAGAATTATATTGATGTTTAGTTCCCTTTTTCCCGAGAGTTTTAGCCGTGTTTTTTGATATAGAAAAGGCATATGATATGTTGTGGAGGGATGGGCTTTTTATTAAGTTGCACAGATTGGGTATTGGTGGAGGGATGTTCAACTGGATTCGAGATTTTCTATCTGATAGAACAGGGATTCCCAAAGTGTGGTGCGTGCACCCCCAGGGGTGCGCGAGCTGCCGCTAGGGGGTGCGCGAGGTGAAAAGTGTAATGGCTGCGGAGCCCAGAGAAGTCTGTCATATGTCACCATTAGCTTAGAAACTCATTTGTGGGTGGGCCAAAGAAAAAGTTAGTGGGCACAATAAATGTAATTGAAAACAAGTATATTTTTGCACGTGTCCTCCACATGTGCCCTAGCTTCATAATAACAATGCGCCGAGCTTCAGCACTCTGGCCTGCGCACGCCGATATGTTCCGTATTTGATCATTTTTAACGGTGTTGGAGAAATTTGAAGGTGGTGAGTCATTCTGGCAGATTGTAATTAACACCCTGTCTCATGCAGGTGTTCTGACATTGTAAACCTCACACACAGAACATTGTGGATGTAACAAAATAACAAGAAATGCTTCCCATTCAGGCTATTAACAACGCGCTGAAGATCTGAAGTTCAGAGTGCGTCTGTCAGAGGTCAGACGTGTTCCAGCGGAACCACGGCTCACGGGTGCACAAGTGAGCACATCTGGGCTGGGCAGAAGTCATTTTACAACATTGGTTTAAATAGCGCCAATAACGAGACGCGGTGACTTGAGCGGCTGTGCCGCGCGCATGCACACACACACACACACACACACACACACAGAGATTCAATAAGCGTGCACGCTGCTTTAACTCCGGCGCGCCGTCAGACTGAAGGCAGAAATGAACGCTCCCTCCACCGTGATAAAAACTTTTAAGAGGTTTTATAACAATATTTTTCATTCAAGGTCAAATTAAGGTATTAATTTCTATTTTGGGATGAGTTGGGTCCGCTCCAGCCAGTGACTCCTCATGAACCTGACCACAAGTCCTGTTACTGCAGCATTTGTTATTCCAGTCCGCGTGGCAGCGGATCGCAGATTCAGCCTCACCGTAAAACAGCAATAAGTCAGTCTGAGGTAAAAGTGAACAACATGGCGATATCTTTTCCCCTATTGACATTTGATTAGGCACAAGTAGGTGATCAGCTCAGATTTATGCAGAGCAGAAGGAAGGAGAGCGCTCTGGCCGCACAGGTTAAACGTTCCTACTTTAAGAAAACCGTTAAATTGCATTGTTTATGTGCTACCTGGGCACTCTAAATATTTATTTAAAATGAAATCAAAGGAAATTGTAATGGTATTGAATGTTTATTAATTACCATTTAAAAAATGAAAGTGATGGGGAATTTGTTTAACCCTGTCTGTTTAGCTTGACATCTGATATATATATATATATATATATATATATATATATATATTTATATTTATATATATATAGCCATGCCCTGATGTGGGGGCGGCGGGGGGGGGGGGCGACATGGTCGTGACATAGAAGGGGGTGCGCGGCCAAATAAGTTTGGGAACCACTGTGATAGAAAGATACAGGTGCAAATTGGGACTGCGACTTCTAGTCAGTATGTGCTTGAAAATGGTACACCTCAGGGAACTGTGGTTAGCCCTCAACTATTTGTCATTATGATTAATGATGTTTTTTCTGCAGTTCCTGAGGGTATTGGAAGGTCTTTGTGCTCAGATGATGGCGCTTTATGGAAAAACGGAAGGAATATTGGGCATTTAGTGCATAAGGTTCAAGATTATATTGACCCTTTGCACTGACATCACCTAATCACTTGGGTCCACCATGGTGGACAGCAAAAGCATGTAAACAGTGAGCGACACGATTACTAAACAATGGGAAAAGTAGAGCCTGAAATTGTTTTTGCAATCAAAACAAAAACAAAACTCCTCCAGTTTTCCTTCAACTAGTTCATGCCCAGTTCAGTTATCAGAAGAAGTAGCGCATCTAGCGGGGGCTCATAGAGAGCGGTATGTTAACTAGCTTACCAACGTTAGTTTACGTTCTCTCTGCAGCTGTTCACCGATGTAAACATGTTGCTGACTTTGCCTAAATTCACCCCTCTGGATTTATAACATTTTGTTGTAAACAGTGTTTCACTTTACACAAAAGCTGATTTTTAAAAAGTCCTGATCCCTACCAGCTTCTGTTGCTGGTGGTGTTACCGGGTTCAGCTGCTGCTCTCACACCGGAATGAGAAGATTTCTGAACGCCGACGCTCATATAAATAAATAAAAAACGTAATTTTAACACATGTAATCATACATCGGAGCTTTAATATTGTTAATGATTGTCTCGCTTTACACTACAGTGGACGGAGCGCAGCCACCATGGTGAATCACCCATCCATCAGGATTATCAATAACTTGTATAAACACATCACATTTATCCCTGTCCCTGTCTTCCTTGTGAAATAAATTAACGTTACTCTTACCCGGTAAAAACATGTTCGCCACAAATCTGAGGCCTGCTAGTCCGCTTGATTGATTGATCGCTGCAGTTCATCTCCGTCCTCAGTCTCCATCAAAGTTATTAAAAAGAAAAAAACGAGTTGAGTTTACTCCTTTTCTCTTAGTGCAGCCAACCACGCAGCAAGCTAAAACCATTTTACTGTCAAATCAACTAAATAAAAGCGATAAAAGGCTACAATCTGGCTTGTTTTGACTACCTTCACTGGAGTTTCTATGGGTGTAAATGGTCTTTTTGACGTCCATCATGGTGAAGGGGGCGGTCACATGAGTGGTGTGACGTCACGTGCCACGAGACGTGTCACGTCACGTCACGTCAAGGGTCAATAAACGTTGTGGTTGAGTGGGGGTTTGAATGGGGATTCTGGTTTTCAGTGGAAAAAACAAAAATTATGTTTTTCACAAATAGGGTAGTAAGTGACACTTTGAAATTGCATAAGTATGATAAGGATATTGAAAAAGAGAGTTATTTTAAGTATTTAGGTGTTATATTTGATGAACGCCTGACATGGAAGGGGCATATTGAAAGGATAGAAACAAAATGCAAGAAAGTCATCAACGTTATGAGGTGTGTAGCTGGGAGGGAATGGGGTGCGAGCTGTTCCGCTCTGAAGAGACTTTACCAGGCATTAATTAGATCTCTCTTTGATTATGGATGTGTAGCGTATGGGTCAGCAGCTGCTTCTTTGTTGAGGCGTCCGGATGATCTGCAGTGACAGACTCTAGTGTGCTGGAGCATTTAAGACCTCCCCGGTCAATACACTACAGGTGGACATGGGGGAATTGAATCTGGATCGCAGAAGGAAACATTTATCATTGAATTGCTGGGTGCATCTTATAGTCACAATGACACATGCAATGTGACTAACAATTTCATTTAACTTGTGATTGTTTTAACTATGTGAAGCACATTGGGCTACCGTTTTGTGTATGAAATGGGGCTATATAATAAACTTGACTATATAGTGGCCACTCTGTGCCCCTGGTGCTGTTAGTGATAAAACGGAATCGGCGGTTAATTATTATTTTTATTATTATTTCATTTATTTATTCACTTCAGACCATTCAAACAAATTGAAATCAAATACAAAATACAAATTTATTATTTAGAAGGTTTAGAGATTCCTCTTTGGTCCTTAAAGGGGAACAGGGAGAAGCTCAAGGCTTTTCATTGCCCCATCCCTCAACATCTTTCCATTTCCAAAATCCAAATAAACATCTCTACAGATACATCATAAAAAAATCAATAGGCAAAACTTAAAATTTCACATTAGCAAGAAATCATATAAACACTTATACTTTTACGTCTTTAAAAAAATCCAAAATCAAAATTAGATATTTTTGACTTTGCAAACAAACCAGGCTTACCGAGGACATTTCTGCTCGACGCCATCAAGAGCACGAGCAGATTCAGCACGCGCAACATCTGGAAAACGTGTCCGAATCCGAGAAGGGTCTGGCTACACTAGACGGGTTGGGAAAGTGGCGTATTGTGGCGGTTTTGGCTTGACATGCTGGCTGTGTCTCAATTCAGGGTCTGCATCCTACCTCAGCCGGATTCTTCGGCCGGTTACGTCACAGCGCCGCGACTCGGCCTGTCCCAATTCGAAGACTCCTTCAAATGCGGTCGACGAATGCGGCCTTCTTTTCGCCTGAATGAAGGATGGGTCGGGTGTATCCTTCAATAGGTAGCATTTCCCAAGATGCCTTGCGGGCCGGCCGGCAGAAAAACTTAAAAACAATGGCGGACAGTGAAGCGGGAGCTGTCGGAGAGGATTGCGCTTATAAATGTAAGTATAAACTTGAAAACTGTCAGTTTAAGGACTTTTTGTGATACATGAACGTTATTTTAGTTAGAAATGTTACAGTAAAAGTGCTTGTATTGCGGTCTCGGCTCGTATGTTCGGCCGCGCTCGGTGTCGTACTTCTCCCACTACGTTTCCCCCTGATTTTAATAGAAGTTTGTATTTTAGGACCAAAAGAGAAAACCAGGGAATTTATTAAGCTTAGGGCGGAGATGGACCACATGATCACCGGAGCAAAGTATTCGGCGGCTGTGGCATGGAGGTACAATAACATCTCATATTTTAAAAACTCGTTTGAGTATATTTTTTTCTGCGAAAACATGAAAGGAATAACCCGTTGTCCTCTTTTCTCTTCCTGTTTCTTTTCTTACATGTTTGTTAAGACTATTCTGGAGAAAATGGGCATCCAGGGGAAGGTGCCAGCGATGAGCTTCTGGAGCTGATCTGGGAGGACATGAGGCTGCAGAGCAGCAGAGAGCACAGGAGAGAAGGAAGAACTTTGACAGCTTTTTACTTTGCTAGAAAAAAATGGTTAATGAAGATTAAACATGTACATGTAAAAGAAATATCTAAATAAAATCAGTTCTGCATTAAACTCTTGAATTTTATTTTTGTTTACAAATGAGAATTGTTTAGGGTATCCGCTGGGTCTTGAAAAGTCTTAAAAGGTGATAAATCGGTTTTGGTCAAAGTAAGACCCTTAGAAAGTATTAAAAACTATTATCACATCTTTGCTCAGGCTCAGCTAGTCTAAAGTATTTTCTCTGAATTAGCTCTCCAACAGTCAAGGAAATGATTAACCCCCAGAGACCCACGGTTGTAGTATTACAACATCAGATTTAAGTCTACAAAAATAAACCTTCCCCATTTTTTTTCTTTTTAAAACCACATTTACATTGCTAATAGGTCCTATTGTTCAGTTCTGCAACACTATTGGCTGTTAAAATGTGTAAATAGGCCCGTTTATCTGGCCTCCTAGAACAACATGTGAAAGGTTAAAAAATATTTTGCAGTTGTTTTCTAAATTTGGGTTTCTGGGGGTTAAAAAGCTAAATAAAACGTCGAGCTCCATCGTTTAAGGTTCCTTCTGCCTTCTGCCCATCGGTTCCACGGTTGCTAGGCGACGGAACGTTCGCCGAGGGAGTTCATGAAGGCTAGGCCTGTCCAAATTCACAGCCGTTAACATCCGGTCTACCCGGCCGACGGAGGACGCAGCCCACGTCGGCCGGGTGGGCTGGGTCCTTCGAAGGATGCAGACCCTGAATTGAGACACAGCCACTGTGAAGCTCCACAGTAACCGAAAACACGTCACCCCCACAGTAGCCGGAAGCACGTGACTAGGGTGTGTACGAATCCCCGAGCAGGATGCTTATGAGTACGGGTCCTCGTCGGTCTAGCAAGGCCGGGTCCTTGCTAGACCGGAACCCAGCGGCTCTGAATTCGGACAGTCTAGCCTTCACCTCTACGGTGGCCCGTAGGTCCCGTCACAGCCGTGGCGGCAGCTACACGCAAAGGAAAAATGCTAAAGCTAGCGAAAATCGAGCAGGAATATTGGGTGTGTCCGAATCCACAGGCAGGATGCTTATGAATACGGGTCCTCGCCGGTCTAGCAAGGCCGGGTCCTTGCTAGACCGCTAAGACCGGAACCCAGCGGCTCTGAATTCGGACAGTCTAGCCTTCACCTGTACGGTGGCCCGTAGGTCCCGTCACAGCCGTGGCGGAAGCTACACGCAAAGGAAAAATGCTAAAGCTAGCGAAAATGGAGCAGGAATATTAAGGAGCTACAGCAGCTTCACGTCCATCAGCAGCGTTTGTTCACAACCGTTTTCAGGTACAGTAATTTTGTTTATTCTAGAAGCTTTCAGGACTTACATGTTAACTTTAGATGGTTTCATGTATGTTTTAAGCTACAGAATGAACGTGTTAAACGTTTGACTGCTGCCTCTACTTCAAAAATCTCAATCTCTGCTTGAACTTGTTAAACGTACACAACACATTACTACAGAGTATTATCATGTAGGTAATTAATATAAACCAAATGCATTATAAATGTTGAATGCAGCAGGATGTTTTCTAATTTTATTTGGACCGTAGAATTTCTTATTTTGCACCAAATGAGGATAAAACGTTTTTAAAAAACAGGCTTTTTAATAAAATAGCATTGAAGTGTTTTCAATGTGCTTTTGTTTATTCAACTTAAGCCTAATAATGATTAGATCTGTCTTAAAAATGTAAATTCTCTGTAGTTTTCCCTGTTGCTTTTCTTTAAACTGAACAGAACCAGTGTACTGCAGGTTGTTTTGTTTTACATTTTTCAATAAAAAAAACTTTTTTTAATCTATTACAGGTCAGCATGCACTGTGCTGCACATCTGCCTCTGTGCTGGTGAAGTTGAGGGTCTGGAGGATGAGCCTGAGGAAGATGTGTGTGGAGGAGGTCAGTGGTGCTCTGTCCTGGAGGAGGTACCAGAAAACCACCACTACTACTGTTAACAGGCAAGTCATTTATGTAGGAACCTCTATTAAAACAATACTGTGGTTTTATTTGCTGAAGAGTCACAATTGTTATACCAGTGGATCCATAAACCATCTACTCATTTCATATTTCTGAATACATCTTAGAGATGTAACAGCCATCGTCTGAGCCAGCCCAGCAGGCCCTGTAGATGGACGATGGAGTGGACAGTGAGAGGAAGCGTCCCAAAGCTCTCTCTGCAGACCGTCCTGTATGATGTTCCTCTGGCCAGAAACGTCCAGCCACGGGTCTGCTCCAGCCCTCCATCCACGTCTGGATCCTCCTGCAGCAGATCCAGCACTGTTAAAGACTTCCTGCTCACTCAGTTTAAATAAATGATCCAGGAAGAGTCACTCAGGTTAATCCTGCTTTAACCGTACATAACTGGTCCATACTGGTTTTGATCTGTAAATAAGTTTAACCTATTATAATTAATCTTGTCTCCTTACCATCTTTTCATTTTCTGTTCATGTAACATGTTCAAAAACATCTGTAATAATAAAACTGGTGATAAAATCAATGACCAGAAAGAGTTATCAGTTAGTATTTGTTTTAATAAATGTGTTGTTCAAATATCAAACAGCTAAATAACATTAACATGATGACGTAGAAGGCTTTTCTCCCAGGAGGACCAGCCAGTAAAGCCTCTCCTGACCCTGGACACCTGCAGTCCTAAACAGAGAAAATCAGAGCACAGGTGACAAAAAGACAACACATTTTTACATTTATCCACATGAGAAGATAAAAATTATATTCTTCACACAAACTATTTTTACTTCATTAAAACGTGTCAGCTGTGTAAATCCCTGAATGTAAAACTACTTTTCACAGCAGAACTACTGTGGTTGTGTGTGTGTAAACAGCTTCACTCTTCACCTCTAAGCTTAATAAAAACGCTTCTTTGCTCCGTCGTCCTTAAAACAAATGACAAGTTTAATTCGACACACACACACACACACACCCACCAAAGGGAATAACCAGGCACGTGCAGAGGGGGGTGCGGAGGGTGCTTGAGACCCTGCCCCTTTTGTCCGAAGTGCCCTTTTCCCGGTCGTTCGTCAGATTTTACCGTACAAAACTGTTATACTATGATACAAATCGGGCACTAGGACTATGCGGAGGCAGCCGCCTCAAGCTGAAGGCTATTTTCCCTTAGACCCACCTACAAGCTCACTGATTGGCTCTGCCGCATCATACTAACGTGTGATTGGTTGTCCTTGCTGTCGCTCTACCTTGTAGCCATGGAGACGACAGACCGGTGTTTTCCCTGCGGACAGGAGTCTGCGTTCATCTACCTGTAAGTTTTTTTCTGCCTGCTTCACGTCAGCTGGATAGATTTTAATACCAGAACTTTTGTTTACATGCGTTTGAGTCCGTGGCTAGTGTGTGTGGAGCAGAGTCACGCCGGGGACACACTGGCTGCGGAAGCGCCGCGAAAATGGGACCGCCTTCATTCGGCGCCCTTGTTAAGCTATTCTATAGACCACATGGGCCGCCGAAGCGCCGCGAATCGCCTCGCGCCGGCGCTCCAGCCCGCACCGTGCAGCGATCATTTTGGTGTTGGCTCTATTTTTTTCGCGTGCCGCGGGTGAATCGCGTCAATTCTGGCAGGAAGTCAAACGTAGACATAAGAGGCAGGCCGGTAAAGTTAACAAAATAAAGCATTTCAAAATAAAATTCCGCAATAGTCAAATGTGTTCGTAAACAGACACTGCAGAAAAACCACACGAACACGCACACACATACACACACATCGAACTTGTGTGTGTGTGTGACCGCGTGAAGGGTGTGTGGTTTTGGGTGTCTTTTCACTGGAGCAAACAGGACAAAGAGGCAGAAAGTCTGAGGCAAGCAGTTAGGATGGATGACTTTAAATTAATTATGGAAGTTGAGAAACACAAGGAGCTGTACGACCCCCGAAAAACATGGTTATTTACGTACCCATTTCGGAAGAAACTGCTCGGATACAGCTGCAGAATTGGAGCGGGTTCCAAGAGATTCAACTGGCAGAAACAACTCATACCATAGGTTCACACAGACACACACACACACGCACACACACACACAAGCGCGCGCGTACAAACACTCAAACGTAGAGGAAAAGAGCTGAGAAAAGACAGAGAGGAAATGGAGGACACCAAGTGTTTAAAAGAAAAACTACAGCTGAGCCGAGGCGCGTCTGATCTGAACTGAGGAGCGGCGAGCAGCGGCCGAATTTCGTGAGCGATTCGCTTCTCGGCGCTTCGCGGCGCTTCCGCGGCCGGTGTGTCCCCAGCGTCAGGTAGCTGCATGTCTGGGACAGAAAATGAGACATGAGAGAGACTTCTCCTGAAGAGTTGCAGAAACTCAAAGAATCACGGATGTGTCTCACTCTAGATTCTCCGGGTCATAACTTCTGAATTACTAATCGAATAAAAATACTTCAAACGAGTTCTAAAAGTACATAAAACGAGCTTTCGAACGAGGTATTACATGATGTAATTCATGTTACTCCAAAAATCGCTAGAAGGAAACCAGCTTTGCAGCGTCACTGAAAGAAACAGTGCGGACTGTGACGGGAGAGCGAGAACCGAAAGGAGGAGATGGTCTGATCCTCTTCATCAGCAGCTTTTATAAAGTTATGGAAACAAACGTCACAAACAAAATCCAGAAGGCTGTTTCTGTAGATGGTGACATGAGGAGGGACAGATTAAAGTCACACTGGTTTTTATTTGAACACTCAACTGTTTACTAAATGATTCAGCTTCATTATATATATATATATATATATATATATATATATATATATATATATATATATATAGTAAATCCTCTAATACAGGCCGGTATTCAATTAAAGGCCGGGTCGGTGTCGGAGTCAGCGGAGGGTTATAATGGCCGGTCTCTTATTGTGGCCGGGTGGAATGTAGTAACAAGCAAATATGAGCGTCTCAGCGGCAGGGTTATAGTCCCCAAATCAACCAGCAGGAGGCAGTAGAGGTTCACGCAGACCTTTGTTAGGCGCTTTCCTCAACGCTTTGTAACGCTACAGACATGATCCTCTATCATGCTCCTACCACACAGAGTCACGGTGTCAGTTAACCATGCTAATTCAACCCGCTCCACAGAACACACATCACCTTCCCTGTGGCTTACATAACACTCACACAACACGCAAATCAGCACATAGGAACTAGCAGAATGATAGGAAACACATATAACACAATACCCAGAATGCACCTGGCTTACAACCCCAGCCAGGTCATTACACTATCAAGTTCAAAGAGAACGTGCTGATTATGCTGCAGAACACTCTGGAGAGCAGCAGTAGGGGGTGTATGAACTAGTCGACTTCACTATAGTGACTTTTTATGCCTGTCGTCGACTAGTCGCTGTCACGTGATAATGACCGGCAAGATGCAGCCCTCGGAAAAGACAGCAGCCTGCTGTCAGCAGGTGACAAGCTCCTGCGCTCAGGGGGGCAACGCGCTGTGTCAGAGCATAGGTACTGACACGCGATCGTTCATGTCGGTTCATTTCCTTTAATGTTTTCTGTCTTTTATTTGCGCCTGATAAGTTTCGCTGCTGTGGAGCGGGGCACATCACCTTGTCCTCCGACTCACAGATCACTGATGCGGCCGCCAAGCAGGGAGAGCTCCGCTGTTTTCGCGGTCGGTAGATCTGCCTCCTGAGCACGGCCACAATCAGGTGTCGCCACCTCAAAAACTAATTTAACACACGATCGTTCATGTCAGTTCATTTCCTTTAATGTTTTCTGTCTTTTATTTGCGCCTGATGCGTTTTGCTGCAAGCTGTGGAGCGGGGCGCTGCGCGCATCACCTTGTCCTCCAACGCAAATTCCACTAACTCCGCTCCGCTCCGCTCCGACACAAACGCCGGAGCAAAATCGGTCCCGTTGTAGTCAATCAGAGCAATTTTACTACTGCGGCCGTGCTCCGGCAGTGCGGCGCCGTGCGCCGCCCTCTGTTCCGGCGTCCGGCAAAAATAGAATCGATCCTATTTTCACCGGAGCACCTCCGCAGTCAATGGACAGAAATCACAACCGCCCAACAGGAAAAGGAGCAAGCACAACTTCCTTTTTTCACAATAAATCGATAAACAAAAGGCGTTTTTTGTTTCATATGCACAGGTTTACCAACTTTTAACAACTATCAATGGCGGCTGAACTTTAAATGCACAAAAATAAGCCATAAATACAGTTTCTACTGTCAAAGTAGTCACCCTTTGTTGATCCAAACACTGCTGATCTCTCAACACAAATGATGGGCAGATTAAACAGTTCGTTTCGATGCTTCTCCCACACAACGGGTGTTTGGATCTAACTTCCGCGTTTATTGCTCGGACTGTATGATACGCCCGCCAAGCAGGGAGCGCTCCACTGTTTTAGCGGTCGGTAGATCTTTTAGAACTGCAGTTCAAAGGTAACTCATAAGGTGAATATAAATGAACCCAGGTAGCAGTTTTTCTTTAGGATTGAGAGGAGATGCAGGAAGATAATAAACAGGCAGGACAGAAAAATAGTCAAATAAAAACAAGTTAGTTTTTGTACCTGCTGGTTGCAACAAACAGACACCATTGAAGGTAATCAGAAGTGAGGAACAGAAAATGAAATAATTATTTTAATGTTTAGAGCAGCAGGAACTCCGAGAGGCTGCAGGCGCATCAGTGAGTTTGCGGCCGCTGCGCAGGGGGAGGGGGGAGAGGGCTGAAGCAGAAACTACCGTTGTTAGAAGAAATGTGTTTAACTTTGAAAATGTGGGCGCAATTTTAATTGTCAAAAACTCCAGTGAACCATTAGTTCGTTTTGCTCAAATAGAAATAGAGGCCTGCCTCTAATACTGGCCCTCCTTCCAATAAAGGCCTGGAGCTTGATGAGCTTGAGTCAAATACAGGCCCGGGCCTGTATTAGAGGATTTACGGTATATATATATACTTACAATAAATATTTATTTAGCTGAAAATATAATTTTATCAGTGCAGAATTTTA